AAGTTCCTAATAGTTTATTAAACCATTCTTGCTAATATCAAACATTAAATCTTAAAAACGAATTTTCACTGTTTTCTTAGTATTTATTACATTTTCGTGTTTAGATGTAATATTTCTCCACATTGTATTAAAAATTGTTACTTTTGCAATGCTTTATCACCGCTTAAAATTTTAACTATCAATTCTTATTACACTTTGTGTTTTTAGATACAGACGGAAACACCGCTAGAATTTGTGGTGTCGCTGCGTGAATTTAAAACAGGCGACTTTTAATCATTTTTACCATCTTTTAGTCTTTTATCTTTCAGTTATTTTATTAACTTTGAGTATAGTAAAACAGCTTGATTTACTTTACCCTCTTTTAGTTATTTGTACTACAAAAAATTTAGGAAAACTAAAAAATCAAGTAATAAAATTATGCTTAAAGTAGATATACACTTTAAAATTTCATAAAGATTTTTAAAGTATCTAATTCAACACCTAAATAATTTTAAATTGCTAGCCAAGCAAGATAAACAGTTCTTTTATGATAGTAAAACATGCCAAATTCATATATAGAACTTGATTTTTAAATTTTCAATTTTGATTTTGCAAATTGTAATGCAGAAAACTATCATTTATAGTTCACCAACTCTTTTAAATTCGTCTACGTTAAAATAGTATTCCTTCAAAAAAATTTTGTAGGTGCTCCGAACGTAAATACAGCTGTATGCTGTAAAAGTACAACTAGTGCAGTTTCTGAAACATATAGTTGTTGTGTAGTACATTGTTTAGATCGTCATGTCTTCTTTATATATGTTAATTTGTAGTTTACTGAGTGCGAAAAAGCACTTACTCATAAAAATCTGTGAGCAGTAATGCACACGTGAACCTTAGAATGATCTTTCAACCTTGAACTCTCAAATTTTAATATAGAATACATCTATACATCTGTATTTTCAGAAAATTTGAGAGAAAATAAATAAAAAAACATATATATATGTTTATTTAAAAATATATATACTGATAATATGTCAAGAAAATTTGTAGAGACGCAGATAAAATTTTTATTAACGATATTCGGCAATGCAGCATTTTCCCGTGTTTTCCCAAATCTTTAAAATGCTGTTTCAGGAAGTTAACCGATGTTTTATTCTCGAATGAAAATGTAAAACAATATAAAAATAGATATAGGGGAAGCTGAATTTTCGTATGTCTCTTAACTAATAAATTTCCCGCATTTATTACAAGTATTAATTTATGATTATAAAAGTATTTGTAGACAATTTTACAGTAGTTTTTGGAAGAAGATGCGAAAGTTTTTGGCCGTGCCTTAGCCAATGATAAACATGTTCATATGATATTGAAATACAATATGTAATACAATATGTTTCTATATAATAGAAATGCTTATATAGAAATACATGATGTTAAAAAATCAATTTAAAAAATAATTAAATGTTAAGTCAATAACTACCAGCAAAACATAAAAGAAATTGCACCTGCCAGTTTTTTGCGACTTTCTGAAATTTCAAAATTCTGCATTATTTTTGTTTTGTTTCGCAATTTTGCTTTTTAAGTGTATTGAAGCAATTCTATTTATCTTTTTTTTTTTCCAAATCATTCTGAAGTTCGGCACTCAAAGACTTCTTACGGGTAGTCTTGATTCTGACTTTGAAAAAAGTTTTGTTTTAAAACCTGTATTAAATAATCAGCGTGCAGTGTAGAATAATCGAAGTCTTACTGCGTAAAATGTAAATAAAATTTTTAATTTTATCAAACTATTTTAACATTTTTAGATTTTCGTATCTGTTTTCCGAAACCGATAATGAGTATTATTTCTAAAGTACATTGTTGAAATTATGCTAGGGATAACAAATAAAATTATGCGATCTACTAGGCATTATAACCCAGATATATATTAGGCTCAGGTGTTTCAGAAAACAAAAATATATACTTAAGTATTAGTGCTCAGTATACACTTTGACGCAGTTTGGAAAAAATTGTTTCTTTGAATTTTCGGATTGCAACTTATAGTACATAGGGTTACCTAAAGAACTGTTATGCGCATGGTTGTCAGAGTTTGACGACTTCTAATAAGATTGTTTCGATAATACGAAAGTACCAAAACATTCCGAAAATTCATTCCATAAATTAAGGTATAAAATATGAAAAATATATGAAATATTGAAAATATGAAAAACTTATGGCTCAGAAATTTAAATTAATATTTACAAGGGAGCTGAAAATAAGTTAAATTCTCATTTGAAGGAATATAAATTAATATCAGAGTATCTAAACATGTTATCCGCGGTCGCAAAACGGTTATCCGCTGAAGCTCTCATGATTCATCAAAGGTATTTCTAAAAAGGCTATGCATCGTACTTCTTTGCTCCAACATTAACGTCTTAAGATGACTTCTAGGTTAATTGGATAAAATTATAAGAGACCTCATTCCACAAAGTTGTGACAGTTGAATTTTTTGAAGTTCTTTTGCACGCACTTTGACGTTGATATAGTTGTTATAGTTCCTTATATTTTATTCTTCGACTTGTTTGTAGAAGTTTTGGTTATGAAAGAAAAGTCTGTAACGTTATGACAACGAGAATTTTTAGTACATTCTCTTTGTATATATTTGAAGAAAATTTCCCAACAAAAATTCGCCATATTTTCAAATTTTGATTTTAATGACAATGAAGAAATATCTTAACAAAATGTTCGGTAAAGTATCTTAAAAATTTAATGTAAATATATTAATCAAAAACTCAGCATTTGAAAAATCAGAAATTCATCTCAAGTGCTTACATTTTGTGACATAATGTAACTAAACTGCATTCAGCAAATTATAACAAATTTAATTACCAAATATTTTTTCAGTTCAGAAATCTGATTATTTGAATAGGACAATACCACATTTAACATTAAGTAAACTACGTTATGCATACTAGAAAAAAGAGTTGCGCGTTTCATTATAATTAAATACACACATGGTTCTCTTCAAATTTTACTTTTTCTTACTCAACAGAGTGGATTGGCATTTAAAACATTTAAGCAAAAAATACCAAAAAGATATCACGATTTTTTATTTGACTTAAGAATATATATTTTAAATAAAAATTAAAAAATATTCACGTAGTTCTAAGGTTTTATAAATTACTTAGACACCCCTGACATTTAAAGGATTTTTAAATTTCCAGGATTATATGCATCATTTTTCATTTTCATTTTAAAATATGCATGATTTTTCCTTGATATTTGACATGAGTACTTTAACCTAATTTTACTACTTTATTCCATTAATATAAGGCATTATTAATAGGGTGTTTGTTATGTTTCCGAATCAGAACAGTATAATTTAATTATTCCTTTAACAGAAAACAAACCTTTGTCATCTTGGCGATATTTTGCTCATTTGGCGTTATTTCGCTAATTTAGCGAAATAGCCATTTTTTTTCAATGTTAAATATACTTGCTCCTGTATTCTTATTTCTAAGGAGAAGCTTCGATTCTTTAAATTTTCATTTTATTTTTTGCAAAGATAAAGTTTTATATATAATTTCACTAAAATTATTTACATTTATACAAAATCCGTAACAATACTTTTGTTTTACCACAAGCGAGGATATCTAAGTACAGCTTAGAAGTTTTCTTGATGTATTCATCTACTTTAAAAGAATTTTATGCTTTGTGTTAAACACTCGTATATTAATTTTTCTGAGAGACTGTAAAGACTAGATGATTGTGGAGCTAATTCAAGTAAAAATAACAGCAACTACTGCACGCTATGCATAATTAAAACTAAGTAAAGATAATCCTTTAAAGTATAATATCTTGAATGGAATTTAATATCTTGAATTTATTAATAGTATATGTTATAATTTATTAATAGTATATGCATTTAAAAATCTGAAAGAAACATTGCCTGTTCAGTAATTTTTATTCTCATTTCCCGAGGAAAAAACTATGTCTTTAAACTATGAAAAGAATTTCATTTACATAACTGCAAATTTTAGCATAGCCTTTTTTGCATGCTATTGTTGCGCAACCAAATAAGCTAGTATAATTTTTTTGAGTTTTCCTGTTATTTAATTAAAAAGTCCTTACATTTTTGTCATTCAACCTGAATACCATGTGCTGTTAATTATCGCAATCAGACACATAAACCAGAAGTGGTGTGTATTTAATTATGGCAAAGCACACGAAAGCTATCTGCCTAAGGGGAGGGATGCCTTCGTGGAGGACTTTCTAAGGGAAACTGGCTCGTATACACGTTACACATAGGGAAAACCACGAAAACGCCCATGCAGCCAGCCCGTTCGCGGGATTCGAACCTCGGACCGACTACCAGTATTCAGCGACTTTACCGCTCGGCCGCTGGTGGGCTCATAAACCAGAAGAAATGGCCAAATCTAGCCAAATGCTTTCTTTTGAAAAAGCCTTCCGATTTAAAGATTTAGTATGAAGCATAGTTTTCTATTTAATAGTGTTGAAGTCACAGATACACTAAAATTTTTAAGGCTTATAGATTAAATTACTATATTAAATATTTTTATTTTTCCAAACGCATTCAGAGTTGCTTTGCGATATTAAAATCTCCGTTTCAGATTTAATGTAATCAAACCAGGTACCCTGTCCAAAAAGTAAATTTACTTTAAGATTTCCTTCCTGTTTTTCAATATTATGATTTGTCATGTCATTGTAAAGGATAGGTATGCTATATGAAACAGCACTATAGATTTATTTCCCTTATAATATATCTAAAACATCTGAATTTTCTGAAATGTCTATCAGTTCCTTTTAGCACAAGGTGCAAAAATTTAAATTAACAAATGTTTAGGAATAGCAATGCTACTTCGCAGATTTGTCATAGAGGAGGAAGATTTAATTAAGCTGATAAATTTCTCATGTAAAGAAATACATTTGGTTCTTTTAAAATCCTAACTGTCGAATTAAACACATTTTATACATAGTTTTGTAAATTCTTTATGTAGTACCACAGAGAGATGGAAATATAAAGGAACTCAGTTTTAATGGTACCCGGATTTTGATACTTAATTTTATTATAACAAGAAATTTTATGCTAAATACATAAAATCATGTGTTACATTAGTATTCATTAAATTATTACAAAGCACAGTTAAATTGCATTTTCATTCGCATTACACTACATGAAAATAGCTTATTTACGATTAAGGACACTTGTACATCATCTTGACACGTTCAATGTCGGACTTATTCATCCCACTTTTGTCCCACGCATAAAGCAGCTTCTGACCGTTTCTTGCGACCATCGTTGGCGATTTTCCGTCTTTAGAGAAAGCTGTGTTCCCGTAGATCATAATAGAATCATAGTCGAATTTATTATAGAGTATGTTCTGAGATGGGTGCAGTTTCTGAAAATTAAAATGCATCCCTGCCAAGGAAAAACAGAAGACACAAGAGATCAGAAAATTGTGATTACATAGTTATATAGAGGACAAAAATTCAATAATTGTTTTTTTTACCGTCTTTGACATTATAGAGGTATACTATGAGGTATTCATCTCTATCTGATCTGTTCTGCTCATGGTAAAATCCTAAAGCGTGACCCATCTCGTGAACGATCACTCCTACACTATGGCAACCTCTACCCAAAGACAATACTTGTGGTCCTCCCTGTCTTCCCATGCGAGAGTAGCATCTGTTGGATACAAGAGTATCAATCAAAGATGAAAGATATTTTTAAAAGATCTGAAAAACAAAGGAACTTGATAAAACGAATGTAGTAAAACTAAGAAATTTTCACATTCTGACGCTCATTACTATTATTCAAAATTATGTTTTCTTTAGAATTTCCAATTTAACTAAGAGTAGGTTTCTCAGAATTTCATGTCTTGCATTAATTATGTTTTCTTTAGAATTTCCAATTTAACTAAGAGTAGGTTTCTCAGAATTTCATGTCTTGCATTAATTCGTTTAATTTAAAAATTTATCAAGTAGTAATGCTATAATTGAACTTCATGATAGAAGATGTGGATATACCTCAAGCACACTTTAAATTACGTAACTGTCAAAAATCTTTTTAGGTAATATTAAAGCAATAGCATGGCATTTTTGTTCTCGAAGCTGCTGAGCAAACGAACACGTTATCATTTTACAGATATAAACCTATAGTTGAACATCTTATAAAACTCTGACAAGTTTTATAACAAATTTTGTCATACTTATTTAACCATAAAGCGTTATAGGAGCACAATCAAAAGTGTCGCACGCATAAGGTAAATTGTGGGAGACAGGTTAGGAGCACGTCTACCAGCTATCTACACTACTAAATCCAACTAACACAAGACGTCATAAAATTCCCGACCGGTTACAAAGAGGTCGTGGTAACTTTTAATACGTTTTTACCTCCTATCGAAGAGGCAAAAGATTTGCTGTCGCATAATGGCATTGCTTCGATGACGATGAAATGTCACTAAACAAGCACTTGGAGACGTGACCATTGTTAGGTTCTCCCATAGCTTTTCCTGAGCTAAACTAGAAAAATGAGAAGGCACCAATTTTGTCCTTTCAAGAGTCTGAACTCCCCACAAGATTCAATTTGTGATTTTTTACTAATTTATTTTATCTGAATATAATAATATAAAGTAAATATATTGTTACGGTTTTGTATTTATTTAGTTTGCTATTTTGAATAGAATTCTTATAAAAATTGTTTTATATTCCCGTGTAATGCAGCACGAGACTTGCTTGAAGAGAAAGCTACTCCGGAAAAATTAAAATACAGAGCACGCGTATTTAAAATTTTAATAAATAGATATCTCGCAATTGTACTCTTGCTATCCAGAAAAAATCGAGAAAATTTACATTTTAGTTCTTGTTGGTTTACTGTAGCGAATTCGCGGTGAAATCGGATTAGTTTTCTCTGTTTTGAATTAAGATCTGTAAGTTTTAGTACGTTAGGAGATAACTACTGTGAGATATTGCAATATTGTACGAATATCTGAGGAAATTTAAGCATTTTGTTTTATTTATTTTGATGATAAAAAATTTTATTCACTTTTCATTGGGCTTTTGCATTCAATTTATTACGAATCCGTACGCACGCAACAATATCTATAATAAGAGTATAAAGTCAGTATAAAATAATTTTAAGTATTAAATTCACTTAACTCTTTGAAGACCAAAACCGGCTCAAACGGCCGAAATTCCGATGGCGTTTTCTTCCCTCTCCTGAGGTATGCAGTAGCAGGGGCAATTTCCCCAAATGGGACATTATATCAGTTTATTGCAGACAGCTTGTCCTAAAAGGATTTATTTGTGGTTTCATATCTTTATTTGTTAGATTGGATTGGCTTATTCAATTAGGGCAAAGCACGCGAGGGCTAACTGCCTAAAGGGAGGGATGCCTTCGTGGAGGACTTTCTAAGGGAAACTGGCTCGTATACACGTTACACATGGGGAAAACCACGAAAACGCCCATGCAGCCAGCCCGTTCGCGGGATTCGAACCTTGGACCGAACTACCAGTGTTCAACGACGTTACCGCTCGGCCGCTCGCGGGCCTTCTTTCGAGACATGAAAAATGCAAGTTGAATTTAGAACGGGAGGTATACAACTGTCCCCCCTCTTTTTTTCGCAATGTACATCAACGAGTTTGTAAAAAAGATGAATTGAAACTCCATATTATTTAAAATAGCTGCTATTGGTATCTACATGTGAGTAAGATAAGCATCAATGATAGTTTAACTGTGGTTTGAATTAGTCGACCTCGTGATTCACCGGACACGTGGTTCCGTTAACGTGCTTTTTTTATGATTTCAAAAAAATAAGCCTAGTTTTCAATTCAACTGGCACTCTTCAAAAATAATTAACGGTTTTGCTGTCTCAGGACCCTTTTTTTTAATAGATTGGCCCAGATTGTCTTGTTTCGATGTATTCTACCGTACTGTATGCGAATTTCGTCGTGTCCTGTCCAAAGGCTATGTTTGCGTTGATCTGGTGAGAATTATGTGTATTCATGGTGCTACTTTGTGCTACTTTGGTAGACGGTTGCAAGGATTTTCAGCGATTTACGTTGGCGCAATTGTTGGCGTGGTTTTTACAATCGTCAGCCATCTTGAAAAATCCTGTTTTTACGTATTTTACGCATAGTAAAGTATTCGAAACTTAAAAAAAAATAATATAGTTAAAAATAATGGATTAATTATTTGTTGATAACGTCGTTTTTCAAGATTGCAGGCAAATGTAAATAAATACATTTACTACGAGCATAAAATATTAAAGTAAGGTTAAATTATTATTTTCATACAGCAAAAAATAGAATATAAACACCGCTATAAAAACATTGCACCAATGTTTAATTGGATTAAATATTACTTAAATTGAATATCGAATTAAAAACAACATACAAACGTTTAAAAGAATTAAAATATTACTTAAATTCAAATACTTTAAAATACGTTTTAAAGGATACAATTCTTTTTAACGCTAAGCAGCTGCCATTTCTGATTACCAAGGTTTTCTCGAAAATTTAAAATAAATTTTCTCTGACTCTTGTAACAATTTATAAATAAATCTGTGATTAGGAAATCCAGGTAGGCCAAAATAAGGTGTCAAAGGACAATTTTTTGATTACGATACCAGTGTTCAGCGTCTTTACCGCTGGGCCGCTGGTGCGCCCTTTATTTGTTAGAAGTAGTAAGGATGTGATTTGAAATCTTATTTGTGCGTTAATGGATGGGGAGGGGAGGGGAGGAAATTGTTGTGAATCTCGAAAACCATTTCGGGCAGTTCGTATTTTAACATACAGGTTAGCGAAGGCTTTGGGTTTTAAAGAGTTAATGCTCAAAAATGCGTATAGAATTGTTAATTAAAACTTTGTTTAAATGAATTAATATTTAAATTTTTTTAATTCGGGAAGAATAACATTTTAAGATTAAAGAAATATAATAGCAATTATTATTAATTTATGCATTTTAGATATTTTAAAACTTCGTATTTTATAAAAATGAATAAAATTAATTCTCTGTAAATCAAAGTTTATTTTGCTAATAATGTATAGTGATGCTTAAAATTCTATAACACATATTTAAAGCCTTGTTAATAAATACTCTGCCAAAAAATTAGATATAATGTTACATCATCAGGATTTTGTGAATTTATCTTGTTGAAGAGTACAAGAGCTTTGGAAAGTGGGGTGCCTTTCAGAAAGCACTTTCTGAAAATTGCATGTTTAATATTTACTTGATTTGCAAGTGTACAAATGTCTGATTAAATTAACAAACTTTAAAAAATTAAGAATTAGAATAACTTAATTTGTATTACCACTTGAAAATGCTTAATAATATCCTTTTTGTTTCATTTTTTTCAAAGAAAAATGAAGCTGCAATTTTTGTAAAAAATCCATGCCAGTGAAAATGTTACATTAGCTATTTCATTACTGGGATAAATAGGCTTCAGAAGAATGCTTATAGAAATGGATTAGCTGTTTTAGTGATATGAGATTATTCTACGCAATTATCAAGATTTTTTAAAAACATTTTATTTTGTTATCTATTTAATAAATCCTTAATGAGCTTTGGGCCCAATTTTAACCATGGAAACAGTAAATATGCAGTACTAATTGATATTTGCATGCTGCATACACTTTAAATTTTTGAAAAACCCCTCTTCCATACGAAAAAATACTACGGTGTAAGGAAAATGAGACATGTCTTCACCAACGATTTGCCTTGAAACTAAATGTTGAACAACAACGGTAATTGTTTGTTACTTAATGGATAAGTGTATGTCCACCATGGCCATGTATGTCAAATTGTGATGTTAGTTACACTAACATTGCGATTTGATAAACTGACATCAAAAGCGTATTATATATACAAGACTGCATCGCATGAAGTGCTGCGTTATTGCTGTGCAATATAAACATGCCAATTTTAAGAGGGTGTGCGAAAATGTATATTTTCAACATATTTTAATTTTTTACTTTCATAAAGGCATGAAAGCGGCTAAGAACTTCTAATGCTAATGTGGACGGAATTAAAGACATAATTGAATCTAATCATTATATAACTGTGCGACAGATGTGAAAAAGTTAAGTGTATCACGCATAACAACTGAAAATCATATAAGATGTCTTGGACTGTTTAAGAACTCGATATTTGGATTTCGCATCAGTTAAAAGAAATTCACTTAACACAACGAATCAATAATTTCACAATTCGCATTTCAAATGTAATGCAAACGACCCATTTTGAAACGAATTTTCACTGGTGATGAAAAGCGGAGTGTCTACAATAGCGTTAATCGAAAAAGATCATTGCATCGACACAAATCATGTCGAAATCTAAATTGAATCAGAAGAAGAGCATGCTGTCAGTATGGTGGGATTACAAAGGTGATGTGTATTTTGGGCTTTTTCGAAGCAACCAAAGTAAATATGCAACTCAGTAATATAAAGTATATATGCGATCAGCTCAGCTGCTCAATGCCAATAACTTGTGAAATTGAAGGAAATAATCCGAGAGTAAAGGCCAGAATTGGGGAATCGCTGAGGTTCCACTGAGGCCTCACACACCTTTTAGGAACACGTAAACATTATTGGATCTGGATTAGGAAGTGAGGCCCCATCCACCACACAGCGCAAATCTTCTACTGTCCGATTATAATTTATTTCAAAGTTTACAAAACCTTTTCAATAGTAAAAACATCACTAATAACAATGACTTCAAATCGCATGAAAGGTGTTTGAGACTAAAGTTAATTTTTTGTGCAGAAAACTTTGAGTATTATTTGACACTAATAACCGAAACTATATACTTGCCAACCCGATATATGTTGAGTAATTACGTAACTGTCACCGTTTTTGTAAAACACTTTTAAAAGCTCACAGGCACTCAACACGCAAAGACACTACTTTCCGCTCCTCCATTGTAACTAAACGCTTTTCAGAACATTGAAGCTACAAAGTGGCAGTGACTGATTTTGGCGCCACCACATAACGGTAGTAGAAATAAATGTCTCCAGGTAGCGTCATCTGTTACCTTAGTGGTGAATTACATGATACAACCAACGCTTGGGTTTTGTTTTGTTTCTTTAATGATGATAAAGCACTCGATAGCTGTCTACCTAAGGGGAGGTATGACTTTCTGAGTGAAACGTTCTTTTATACATTTACATATAGGGAGAGCCACGAAAAGGCCCATGCAGCCACCCCGATCGGCAATATTTGAATCCCGGACCGAACTACCAGTGTTCAGCGATTTAACCGCTAGGCCACTGTTGGGTCCGGTAGAGCCGATGTAGAGTAAGAGGTAAAAATGACACGAAGACACAATAACGTTATCAAAATGGCCTGATTTGCTGTCGCATCCTTATCTTACTTTAATTAAATTAATTTTCTCTAACTGAGTATAAATGAAACTTTGCATCAAGAACTCTCCTCTTAATCACCGTAAACATAATAAGAATTTAAATAATTTTATAATTTAAAAAGGACTTAATTTTAAGGATTTATAGGTTACTATAGGTTACTCTGAACCTTCGTTATTTATAGTAGATGGCAGCTCAACACAAACCAGTCCATATATTTTAGCCATGTTTGGATTTTTAAGATCCTCATGTTTCAAAGATATCTTCCAGATTTTTTTAGGGTATAAAAGGTATTCTTTGAAAAGAAATTTCTATGTTATTTTTTTGGCTGTATGCTCCTTATTCTATATTAGTTTTACATTTTTACCTTGAAATCTTGCTTAAAATCAAACGGCGAACCCTAGGTGTGCCTAGACCGGGCTCACCGATCATCTAGGACAACTGAGAGTCTGTATTCTTTGTTTCTTTCTCCGCATCTCATCTGTCAGTTCATTGACAACAATGCTCGTTTCAGCACTCCTTTCGAAGCTCTATTCAATCAATGTGCCCACTTTGGGCAACCCACAGAATTAAAAGATAAGTGCTATCTTCACAAAATTTTATATTTATACTTCTCTAGGCCTAATTAGACTGCCTACCTTTTCTTTTCTTTTTTTTTTTTTTTTTATCAAAACTCCAACTTTAAAAGGTAGCGCGCCGGAAAGAGTTAAATCAATGGGCCTAAGTTATTAATGAATCCTTCGGGAAAGCGGGTAATTACAAAGTGGACTTCTACGGTAATATATTAAATAGTTCAATAAAGCAATTTTTTAAAATTGCTATATTAGTTCACGAAAATAAAAATTATTAGTTAATTTCAATGTAGCGTAACCTTAAATTTTTTAAAAGTTTATGATTATCAAAAGTATGAAGTTTTAAAATACTCGATGAAAGTGAATAAAATTTATTGAAATAACAATGTCGTGCAATTTTGTAATTAATTTTATGTCATAAATATTCTCTTTAGACTGAATCAATTTGCTGAAATATTGTATTTACCCTTGTCCTTTGAAAAATCTGACGTAGTCCTTTTCTGTTGTCCGAGGGATGAAGCGAACACATGTGGTAGCATGGTAGTGGTTTATTGCCTTTTGAATGGACATCCTTATGTTCCTCTGTCCAAAATAAATTAATAAATAAAAAAATATAAATTCCAATCTGATCTTATTTTATAGGTTTCCGTTTAACAGTTTTAAGTTGGGACAATTACAATAGGCTTTTAGTCCCCTTGAAGTTAAAGAAATAGATCATAAAATGTTATATTCAAAATGACCTATTCAAATTAACCAAGCCAAGCAGCAGGGAAACAAAATTGCTATGATATGATATTTCATAGCAAATTTACGCCATGTGGAGATTTATATAGTACTTATTTAATAAAGAAAAGGCTTAAAGTAAATTTAATAAAGAAAGATATCTGTATATATTAAAGCAACACAATTTTTTTGCATGTGCTATTAAGTAACTATCCATTTATTTCACCGGATCACTTGAGGAATCGGTTATTGGCGTTAGAATAATTTGAGGAATTACGTTTGAAGAAGTGCAGCAAAAGATGAGAGTAATATAACAAGTCAATGTAAGAATGTCGTGTGGAATTAGAATTTTCATTAGAATTTTTGTCTTTATTTAAATGTCTGGATTCAACTGCACAATAAACATTTTTCTTCGAACTGATTCACTTGCTGTCTGGATCAATCATTTATGGAACTGCAATAAAAGATATCAAAATAAAGCCAAGAAAAACTTCGATTCGTTTTTTGAATGTACAAACTAACATAACTTCATCTTTCCTATATGGGGTTTATCCATGCTTCAACCCTAGATCCAATTTTAGTGCATATGCTGATTAATCACAACTACTTGCTATTCATTTTAAGCAAAGAATATGAATTGAAGAAGCTCTGTAGCTTTCCCTGAAAAAGAAAAACCTAACTTACTATTCACGATACTTGACTTATTTGATTAGGGATATTCTGCATGATGTACAGCGACAAGTAGCTTTGAAAGTTACTTTATTAACACACTTCTTATGTTTAGCTTTAAACTGGTTAAATTTCCATAAAACTGTAATTAAATTTCTTGGGAATTACTACGAGTTTATGTTGTTTCTGTTCTCGGGAATTAAAATTCTCTGACATTTTTTTGAGAATATCAAATTGCTTCATATTTATATTTTATGTAGCTAAATGCAGTATTCTCAGAAGAAGAAAGCAATTTGTTATCGGAGTTATTCAAGCAAAGGTAAACATGATGCCAATCAATCACTAATGAACATGTTAATAATTGTAAAATTGCAAACCCTCCTTTCTAGTTTAATTGTTTCTTCGCAGTAAGATTTATGATCAATCCTCAGTGCATTTTTAAATACGTATGTTAAAAGAAATAGATACAATCTTTTTAAATAATAAATGCACTTTAAATTTTTATGTCTAGTATTCTCTATATTAGATGTAAGAAAAAATGTCATCAGAGCCAACTATAAATAGACGTCTGAACAGTCTTTGGACAAGCCAGTTACACCAATAACTTAGAAATATTGTTGAAAACCAGCTGAAGTAGAAAAAAAGGTGGAGGTTTCAAAACACCGTTAGTTTTACGAAGCACAATTTCAGTTATCCAACAGGTTATCTGAAGCATCGAAATAATATTGGGCATTCTCTATCTGTTGTACTGTCGTCGGTGTAATTTCCTACCTCTTAAAGTAGCAAAGCTACTTCATTGCCATCGGTTTCTATTGATTATAGCATGGAGATTCTTAATATAATGCTAGGTGTTTCTGAAATGTCTTTCTGTAAATTAATAGGAAGTTAGAAGTAGTGTATTCAAGTTTAAGCAGAAGACTTCGAAGGTACTTTATCATTATTATCATGTTATATTTAATACATAAAGTTTGGATAAAACGTAGTGACAATATACCAACAGTTCTGAAAAGGTTTTATTACCATAGCCTGCCATGTATATGGCATTCTTCAAAATCAGTAGAATCCATCAACTCGTATCATTCTGTTGATGACCAGAGAGTCAGCTTTAACTAGGATGAATCGTCTCTGAAAGAACTCTCTCAGGCCTTCTTCTATTTTGGCAAAGAGATTGAAGATATAAGGGCTCATATCAGGTGTGCATAGCCAACATTCCCGAGAGAAAGGTTATTGTTCTAGAATCTTCCACCTTCCATCTTCACCCTACCAGTAGATACACGACAGCTTTCGCATTATATCACCACGCAATATCATGGAAGAGGATGGGACTTGTCAACATCTGCGCCGTTATTCAGGAGAGAGCGACGACACTTATTAGTAACGAATCCATTTATCCTCTATGATAATATATAATTTGAGAGCTGTGGAAAATCATCTTCGACAGTGTCGAGAGAAGATACAGGAACACTCACTATATTCACTTGACATGAGACCGTGTAATTATGATCTCCTTGCCAAATGAAGGATCCGCTGGTATGATTCCATTGCAACGGTAAAAAGGAGGTTAATAAATGCCTTAGAGCAGTCACTGGGGGTCATGAACAGAATTGAACTTGATGTTGTATAGAGCCTTCAAGTAGTTAGCAGAAGATAGTAGACATGATAGACGGTTATGCGGAAGAATTGTACTTATTTTGATAATTATGGCAATCAAGTCTTTTCATAACTATCGAAGTGTTATCACTATTTTTTATGCTCGTGTGTGTGTGTATTTATTTATGGCAAAGCACACTAGGGCTATCTGCCTAAGAGGAGGGATGCCTTTCGTGGAGGACTTTCTAAGGGAAACTGGCTCGTATACATGTTACACATGGGGAAAACCACGAAAACACCCATGCAGCCAGCCCGTTCGCGGGATTCGAACCTCGGACCGAACTACCAGTGTTCAGCGACTTTACCGCTCGGCCGCTGGTGGGCTTTATGCTCGTGTATACGTTGCCTTAAATATTTATAGACATCAAAATCTCATTCAATCACATTCATAACTTTAACTTCTAATGCTATTTTTATGAATTATGGATATTAGAGAACTGTCTTGAGCAGTGTTCAGATGATAATTTTGTAAGGATCTTAAGTTTTACTAACGTTTATTTTATTTTAAATCTTTACTATCACTTCTTATTTTCTACTTCCGGCCAGAATTATAAGCGTTAACGTATTTATGCAAAGTTTCTCTGGCGAACGCCAAGTATTTAAGTTGGGCATTTTGCCAAGCGAGAGAGAGGAAGCAGTTAGTCGAAGCAGGCCGCTTACCTTAGAAGTTTTACTCAGTTGCTGGTTGCCTTCCAGGCCAGAGGTTTAATCCTCTTGATAACTTTAAACGTATTGTAGTGTTCACAGTTCTCTGTACTACATACGGCTTCCTGTTAATATAAGGCCAATCTTCCACGTTTATTATTTTAAAGTTAAATTAGAGTTTAGTTTTATTTTTTATATTTTTACGTTTAGACCACAAGTAGTGGGTCTTTGTATTCCGAAGTACGGAAGTTATTGTAAATAGAGAAAAATAAAGGGTTTTGTATACCCTTCTTGTGTATCCTGTCTACTTCCCACAGTTATTGAACATAGCTTTAGTAAGCTCTCTGTTCCGAGTCAGGTCCTTGCATGTTCCCGAAGAAAGTAAGACGGAACATTGAACCTGATAGTGGCGCCCAACGAAGAAGAATAACCATGGCCGAGTTTCAAGAAGAACCTGTGCTGCTGCTGCAGAAGCGGCTCAGAATCCAGAAATGCCAGCTGCCGCCCTGGAAGGATTTGGTTACATCGTCCAGACCATGCGCGCTTCGATGAAACCAGAAGCAACATTTAATGGAAACTCACCGGTAACCAGTTTTTTTTGGAAAAATTGGATGACCACTTCATGCTCTACCCCGTGCACGAATTTCAAAAAGTTACCTTAGCTACCAGCGCTTTGAGGGGCCAAGCGCTTAACTGGTTCAAATGTATAGGCAGAAGTCTCTTGGGTCAAGCAGGAAGTCCCACCTATACTTACGAGAATTTCAAGACTGCCCTAGTAAAAGCCTTCCCTGTTGTAAGGGATCGTGCGAAATTAGAAACGGAACGTTTTAGTATATATCAGCAAAGAATCGAAAATCTCTCAAGCTTTATTTTAAGAAAAATTCACGTCTTCAAACTCTTGTATGGAAACCGTCCGGATCCTGAGATAATTCAAGTGACTTTGCCGAGGTTACTGCCCCAAGTGCAAGACTTTATTGAATTAAGAAACTTTATTGAATTAAGAAATCCGACTACACTGGAAAAGTTATTTGAGCTAGCAATCCAGTTTGAAAGTAGAAGAACGGCGGACATTGAAAGAAGACGCCAATATCAACAGCGAAACCAATTTGGTGCGCCAAGACTACAGCAAACTCAAGCACACGGCTACGGAAGCAAAGCGAATCAGTGGGCAAGGAAACCCGAGCATTCAAAAACAGCCGGCGAACGTCGACAGTTCAATAGCAATCCAGGAAAAAAGTCTCAAGGGCAGTGGAAAAAAAAAAAAAAAAAGAGGAAGCACGGAAATGAAAAATAATTTAAAACTAAAACGGATTTCTGCTGACGGGAGGGTGCGGAAATCCGAAGGCCACGAAAACCCCTCTTCCTTCAAGTTAAATACAGTAATGGTGAAAAATTTGACTCTTCCGAAGATTGAAGTGTTGGTGAATAATATCCCAGCCACCGCACTCCTGGATACAGGCGCGCAGTGTTCCTGTGTGGCAGAAGATTTTTTTAGGAAGTATTTTCGTAAATATCGTATATATAATTCGGATAATACGACAGTGTTAGCGGCGCAAGGAGAAAAATGTAAGTGTATAGGTAAATTACCGCTGTATGTCCGTATCAAGGACGAACAAGTAAAGGTTATGTTTTTCATAGTAAAGAATCTGCAAGCACATATTATTTTAGGAATAGATTTTCTTTCAGAGGCACAAGCAACGCTGGATTTTAATGAAGCGTCCCTTAAGCTGACGATGAAACCAGTTCGTGGAGAAAAGGCTGAACCGCCGATGTTAAATCTTGACCACCTGCCTAATGACGAGCAACGAAGAATCCGACAAGTGGTAAGTGAATTTGAATTTGCTTCGTTATTTAGTGATATTCCAGGATTTACTCAGGTTACTAACCATAGTATT